ACCTTTTATACGTATATTTTATTTTATTGCTGGAAGTTTTTAAATCTTTCTTCATTGCTAGGGTACACAATACCATAGAAATTACCCCATTGTGCTCATTTAATCAAGTGTAACTAAATGTTTTCGTACTAGTAAGCTTACTTTCAGTGACTCAATTCGTGGCTATACTTTTTGAAATGACGTTTCATCACAGGCAAAAAATTTTATTGTTGGAAGATCAATGACTCAAGGATATAATAATAATAATAATAATAATAATAATAATAATAATAATAATAATTTAATATTTATATTGCACAAATTAACATGTGGATATGATCAAATGCACAGCACAACACTTTTCGGGGGACTTTGGCAGGACTGCATCAGCAGTTTACAAACAATTGCAATTGAAGGAAACTTATTTGAAGATGCCCCCTCCCCCCCAATTCCCAGTAAACAGGCCAGACCACATCCCAGTAATCTCATGAGTGGGTTCTTTAACGTCCTCTGCCTAACTAAATTAACTAATTTATAGATGCCGGAGACAGGACCTACGGTTTATTTGTTCTTATCCCAGAAGACTGGAATGTCTATCAATTTCTTGATATTATAGAAAGGTAGCACATTCTCCTCAGTTATTTTAAGACCTTGTGTGTTGGTCCAGCCGGGCCTTGAACCATCGACCTCGACCTCCCACACAACAGTCCAGCTCTCTAACCAATTGAGCTAACCAGGAGACAGATTATCTGAGAAAATGATTGAGGAACCCTGTAATAAACTGAAATCCCATCCAGGAACAAAACAGTGTATCCTATGGGCATTCATAGGATGGGCAACCAGGAATATGTATTATCCCCATCCCCAACCCACCTCCCCCTCCCCCTCTCCAACCTTAAGTGTCCTAGCATGAGACATTCAGTGAAAGATTACATACATGTTGGATTGTAGTTTGAATAAAAGAATCGCTCTGTGCTGTAGCATGCGATTAAAAAAAAATTCCGGAAGATTTTACTCTTAATGTTCCATTTTGCTCCAAAAATTGGCTCCTGATTTCATCGTACGTTCACTGCAATGTTTTGGTTACGATGTTAAAGTTTTTTTCAAATCCTTACGTAGTATATCAAATAAAAAGTTAGTTGATTATTCAGGTAGACAAAAACTTATTTATGGAAACCAGGTAAGTTAGAGCTAGGTTCGATCCCAAGTGAATAAATCTCTCTTTGTAAGAAAAGTTCGATCTGTTTATTAAAGCAATGTTGATCTCTTGGGAGTTCTCGCAATCAGAGCTGATCACAGATAAATTATTCAAAATTATCAGTACATCATTTAGCTGACGCTAAGAATAGCACTTCATTGTCTCTATACTTACCTCCGAGAAATATCGAACCTTTAAATTTGCCAAAGAACGAAGTTTTAAAAGTCTAAAATTTTGCGCAATCCTAGCGGCCATGATGGAAGAACCGCTGACAAATGGTGATCGATTATTTATAGAATAATATCCCCAGACCTTTACTTTTCAAATTTTCGTTTGGAAGCCAAAAATTCCCACTATTTAAGAAAATATTCGAGTAAACCAAATATAGAAGCTTCCAAATATCTACTGAACGTATTTTCAGAGTAAAACTGAGCATGAAATAGAAAATTCCTTTCCGGGTCAATTTCGGAAATCGATAAATGATCGTTGCTAAGAACAGCGCACCACTTGCGCGCGTATAGGACCATGGGAGTTGCAGTGTAAATGTGCTAAGTTGACTCCAAAGATCCGTCAATGAATTCTGAAAACAGATGGATTAACTGAGCAATTTAGAGGATTTTTGTACTCGAAAATGATTGTCAACGAGACATAAAGGCATATTTTGTGGAGCTGCGAGACACTCCAGCATGAATTGGACAAACTGCCTTCGCTATCAGTCTTGATATGTCGAGCCTGGGAGCGTTTGTTGGTGGGCCCCTGGGAGAGGAAGATGTTGAAGAGTTACGCTCCGAGCGTTCCATACGAGGACTCAAGGTCAATATTGCTTTTATTTTTGAACTGAGAGATGTGATATAGGTTCTTACAGGTCACTTATCTTTAAAGGTCTTGAAAAATATTCTCATTTATTTTGCAGTCTCAAGAAGAAATCGAAAGACTTACTGTTGACGAGAGTCTCGATGACATTGAGCGGGCCGTGTTACTATTAAGGTGAGCTGAATAGAAACCTCAAATCACATAGATTGCTTGCAGTAATTTTGGCGACTAAACATCGTACCTGAAGTTCTAAATATTCTGCGTTCAAAACCATCTCGAACGGTTCGTGAAACTGATCACGGAATTTTGCCTAGCTTTCAGTCGTTTCCGTCAAATTCATTAAGCATGTTTGCTCATTTCGCTTGGTTTAACTGTAACAATGGCAATTTTTATTTTGTTTGTTGAATCACGGTTTCTTTTAGATGGATTGATGCCTTCCTTGAATTCGAAACCTGAACTAAATTTAGTTACTAGTACTTATGTTCAGCAGACAGAGCATAAGAACGCGGCGTTGGCAAAGTTAGGCCAATGTACGCTAATGTGATTTCAAACGAGCGGTGAGTTGTCAGCTATCATTAACATTATTTTCGATGAATCTGAAGTGGACCATAAAGTTCATAAACCATTTAATAGCTTGGAAATTAATGACAGATTTAGACTGCGGTGCGCGTTTTGTCTGAGGGTGTGTGTACTCTAAGAAAGGCCAGTATTAGCTGTACGCAAACACATCTGAAAAGTTTGTGTGACTTTTTTAAGAGGCAGATCTATTTGCATGTTGGGATTCAAATGAACAATTCAGTTCTCGAGGGCTTCTGCGTTTACCACATTTAAAGTCGATTAGTTTCGTAATGTAACTAATATTGTAAATATTTTAAATACTCAGATGAGGGGAAAGTTTGCAACTGTAGTGTAAAGAATTAAGCAACGCCTTTGAAAATGTGGTACCGTAATTGAAACTAGATGAAGTGAAGTTTGGAAGAGGTTAGGTCAAAATGTGTTTTTCACTTGTAGCAGATGCCTTTAGAAGCTGTTGGAAATGCGAACTCCACCAAATATCTTGAAATTTTATATAAAGGAAAGGAAACGTTTTGCAAAGCCAACTCTTTTATCTGACTTAGAAATTGATATCTAGCAAATAATTGTATACTAGTAATTTACATTATTTTTGTCTTTTGCATCTGGTATTGATATTGTGGCTCCATTCATGAATAGTTTATGTCTCTCCGGGTCACTAAAACTTGCTTTTGAGTGAAAACATACTCTTCCTACATGTATTCAATCACAGAAACTCTTAAATATCTTCATGAATTCTATCACAATTTTTTCAAAGCCTTTTTCTCTGAATGATTATGACAATTACAGGTATATAATTTTTCAGAACCCTACTTCTGGGCATGTTTTTGAACTAATTTGTTATTTCATGTATTTTGGACCTGGTGAATCTTTACACAATAGCCTGAATGCATTTTTGTGTTTTTTTTTGTGTGTGGTTAAAATTGCTTTTTACACAGTTAACAGGCATTGAAATTTTCATGATCTCCTGCAGAAAATATGAATAAATACTGTACTACACAGACTTCCTGGGTGGGGAGCTTCTGTCATTGTTTGTAACCTGGTTCTCCTTATAAAATATCATCTTCATTCCTTGAAGGGTGGTTTTATGTGCAGGTGTACATGCATTATTGATTTGTTGCCATGAGAGATCTTTAGAAGCTCTGGTCCTAGTTGTTTGAAGATTGGATAATGCTATCCACTATTTAAATCTCTATCCAGTGGATAGCTCAGTACATTTTGCGATTACTTGCTGGATAGCAATTTATCTGTTGAATAGCATTATCCAACCTTTAGACAACTGGGCCCTGAAGATTACAAATGCAGTTGACTTGTTTTTCAGTTGTTTTTACACATATTTATTCAATTCACAAAATTGCATTGTCATGCTACTCTGCATGCACCTTGCATAACATGGGAAAATAGAATGATTACAAGAAATTCCCTGATGTTTACTTAAGCTATTCAATTACAATCTTGGCACACATGAACTGGTCTGTAAAAAAAATTTTTTCTTAAAAACATTCATTCATTCAACATTCGGCTAAATCTGCCAATTATATGAAATTCAGTTTTGCACCCCTTGCATTCTCCATGTATTTTCCCAAATCAATTAACATTGACAAGCTTGGTTAAGAGTACAATATCATCAACTCTAATTTTCATAATATTACTGAAAAGCAAGGCTACCCAGTACACTGTGTTTAGGTGAAGTGATCTTGCTAATAAAAACACCCTTATTATTTACAGTTCTGGAGTGGAAATTCAAAAGCTTAGCGTCATAAATAACTTACCTAAACTCCTTGAGAAGAACAGTGCTGATGTAAATAGACGAGCTGTACCAGTTCTTCGGGTAAGTTAGGTGATCAGCCATGTTATGAAAAAACTCCCTAGTTGAAGAGACTTCTATATCCAGGGCTAAACTTGACAAGCAAAGCCAAGTTTTTTTGAGAATTGGTTTTACACAAGTATGATGAATTGGGTGAAAATCAAACATATTCAGTCTCAGGGCTCAACACTAACTTTTCAACTTACTAGCCAAGTGGCTAGTGATAACTGAGATGTTATGATTATAATTTCAGTTTGTTTACTAGCTAAACTGGCTAGTGGAAATTGAAACCACCGGCCAAAACTGAATTTGTTCTAGTCTGGCTAGTTGGCTACCGTTAGCATCGAGCCCTGTGGTGTTGTGACAAGGAACAACATTTTGTTGTCACTTTTGACTTCTCACAACCATGAAATCTGAGGCAAATTGTAATTTTAAGGAAAAAGCCTAATCTTTTCACCCTCTTAGAGTGAGTGTAATCTAAATGGGAATAAAAATATTAATGTTGCAAGAATAAGGGAAATGATTGCCAACTTACAAAGCTTGCGATCATTAAAGAATTTCTCCTTGTCAGTACGACAAGAAAAGGTGTAAAGGAAAGTAAGTTCACTCTGATGTTAGGGTGTAAAGTGATCATTCCTTTTTTTGCAGGAGTACCTGTACATTGCTCCCCTCCACGTTCAGCTTGAAGCCACCAAGTCTTTTGCAAGCATCATTCAAAATGGAACAATGCCAGCATACATGTTTTCTTCGTCATTTCTGCCAATTATATTGCACAACATGGACAACAGAGATAGTGGTGAGTCCAAGTGTTCTGTATCAGCTGTGGTTTGGTGCTGTGTATGCTATGTTTAGTGCTCTGTTTGAAGCTTGGAATATCTTGGTCTTTATAGGAGCTGGTTAGCTATTGATCCCACACGAGGGATGGATATATAAATTCTTTTTGCAGTATCAACGTAATTTAGATTGTGAAGTATTGAGGAGTATCACTATTCAAGATTGCTATGGGAATTTTAAGAAAACCATGATGTGAATAAACAAACACAACCACAAGAAACACAAGACGATCGACAGATTCTCGGTGCAGTTTAACATTAACAGTTTTTACTTCAAATACAATGCCCATTGAAATGAGCAATAATCGTTACACAATGGAGAAAATATTCAGCTATCTCATACATACTGTTAGACATGTTTGGTTCGTCTATGAAGATTAGTCTGTGTCTGGTCACAGACTAGTCTTTTCAGGGCTCGAGACTAATGGTAGCCCACTAGCCACAGACTAGTAGAAATTCAGTTTTGGCTAGTGGTTTTCGATTTCCACTAGCCAGTTTGGCTAGTAAACAAACTGAAACTGTTGTAACATCTAAGTTGTCACCAACCACTTGGCTAGTAAGTTGAAAAGGTAGTGTTGAACCCTGCTTTTACTAGTTTTGTTGCATATATTTTGGTCCCCTTATCTTTAAGCTGCACTGTACAAGCAATTGATGTAGGAATTATTTTTGCAGTGTCAACATAATATAGATTTTGAAGTATTGAGAATATAGAGGAGTATCAGAATCAAGATTGCAATGGGAACTTTTAAGAAAACCATGGGGATGATGGTAAAAAGAAAATGAAATGGCAAAATCAAAGATTTAATTAACTGAACATGAACACAGCACATTTCTTGGCCATCTTATGCGAAAAAATAGTGGAATCACCAAGTTTTGAGCAGTAACCTGGGGAACTCTTCATTTAAAATGTCCTTCACATTCTGTGAAATTCACACAAACCTTTTGAACAAATTCTGAACATGGAATCAGTTCACACATACAAACCTCTCACTGGCAAATTATCCTGTACTTCTGCTCAAAACTGGGTACAAATTTTGTTTATGGTATTTTGAACAATGTACAGTTTTTCAGTAGCTCTTATCATACAAAGAAGGGAAATTACGTATAGGTAGCTAAAGATGGCAGTCTAGTTAGGGAAAACGGCCAGCGATTGGCTCTTATTGACAGCTTTACTCTGGATGTACTAATACCGCCTTCATGATATCCTGCACAAATCATTTTATTGCAGTGGTGGCAAACTCGTGGCTTGAAACCCTCCTGATATCAATTGATTTCCTTCCAAAAGATGTCATTAAAAGAGAGGTAGATTTTTATTTTTTTAATAAAATCTCCTTCTACCACTGATAATAACTTGGTATTTTTAAACCTATATTTGTACAGTGTTTCTTTCAAGAACTAGAAAGAGATGTGATGCAGGGCTTGAATCACAAAAAAAAAAAAAAGGCAGGTCACATTAGAAATGAAATGTAGCTCAGAAGGTTTGTTTGGAAAAGCACCATAAAAATCAGAACATTAAATATTGCAATATTCCAGAAATGATGATAAAAATTCAGGGTTGTTAGCAATTTCTTACGATAGCTGACCCTAAGAAACAGCATTACAAAAAGCTGCTAAATTGGAAAGTAATTATGAGAAGTTGTACTACCAGAGAAAAAGAAAGATCAGAGTGAAATTTTTTGTCTAAAATGTTTTTGGAAGGGGATTTCAACTAGCAGTGAGAAGAAGTTGTGAGGTTTTAGCTTCCCAATGTGTCAATTGATTTGCAGGTCCTTGGTATTGCCATCTCCAAGGGTCAACTGTCACAGTCAGTGAATTGTAGACTGGCAAGCTGCAAGCTTCTTGGACAAATTGCACCAAAATTTGAAACTTACTGGTAAGGTCTGACTCTTTACCCAGTGCGGAAAAAGGTTTACTCTGCATGTTAACTCTCGGTGTTATTTAAGAAGTATCCCCCAAAAACAATGTGAATTTTAGCCATTCAAAAGTATGTTTAAAAATTGGTTACTGGGCACATTTTGAGATTCTAAATGATCAGTCACCATTTGAAAATTCTTCAAATATGTTGGAACTTTGACTTTGAAAATCAGATTATGTACCAGGCATCTTTAAGTTGCTGAGGTTATTTGGGGCAGTCAGTTACCCTTCAAATTCATTATTGTATGGTGCTGAGTCAAATGTAATTACCTTAAGTAAGGGATACATAAAGTTCATTGTTGTTGCCACAATTAGAAACAGACAATTCAACAACATGCCCATGATAGCCAACACTACAATGCACTGTTCATAAATTTCTTCTTGCAGGATCAAAAAGGAGCTTATGGCTTTGGTAGCATCACTATGTCAAGATGTTGATTACGAAGTCAGGGCTTGCATGTGTCAACAGCTGGAAAGTATAGCAAGAGCTCTTGGGTAAGCCGCTATCATTTTGGTACTTTTGGTTTTGACAACAGAGTTGCTAATGTAAAATGGCCACCGTAAAGAATATCAAAGCTGACATTTTGAGAGTTAGCCCTTCATAAGAGCAAATGACTATCAGCTAACACTCGAAATGTCAGCTTTGGAACTCTTAGCAGTGGCCAATTTACATTATCGACTCAGTTGATAAAACCCTCAATATTACCTTGTTACTCCCACTGATGCAGCACGCTACAGTTTCTTAAGATACTTACCCACTTCAATCATCTGCCATCAATGTGGGTTATTATCCTCATTATTAGTGCCAGACCCCCTGGCAACCTCGTCCTGGCTTTTCTGAAATCTTTCTACAGATGGGAAACTTGCTCCCTTTGGGGCTGATATAGAGGCAATGTTTGTATACTAAAATCCAGGTTTCAGTCATAAGATCCCAGAGCTTTCTGAATGGTGGGAAGGGAGGGTGCTTATCATACTCTAAACTACACACATACCCTTACTCTAATAATTATAAATTGTCCTTTGGATAGTTTCTTGCCACAAGCAAAACCTCTTTGTGGCAGTCTTTGTGGCAACTCCCCTTCATTCATGCAATTTTATTTTGGGGGCTATAGCCTCCCTACTTCTCTTCTCTCCCCTTCCCCCCTTTCCCCTTTTCCCCTCTCCCATTTCCCCCTCTCCCACTTCCCCATCTCCCCTCCCCCCCTCCCCTTTTTGCCTCTGTCCTTTCCCCACTCTCCCCTTCCCCCCTCTCCCCTTTCCACCTCTCCTCTTCCCCCCTCTCCCCTTAACAAATGGTAAAAACCACAGCGTACACTATTGAGTTATGGATGCACGCGGGAGGTTGCTAACCATGAAAGAAGCGTAAGAGTTGCTCGAGGCGATAGCCGAGAGCGACTCTAGCTTCTTGAGTGCTTAGCAAACCTCCCAAGTGCATCCATAACTCAATAGTGTACGCTGTGGTGTTTACCATTTGTTTTATAACATAACATTGACACATTGTAGCTAAAGAGTTCCCGTTTATTTAACAAATGTTACGCGACCAGAAAAAACAAACGCGCACGTAAAAATAGTCTTTGCATTTGCTCATGTCAGCAGCGTACACCCAGGGGCAAATGGGGGATGCTAAATTGACCAATCAGAGCGTGCGCTTTACTTTGGTTGTGTTATAATTTCCCCTCTCCCATTCCCCCCTCTCCCCTTCCCCCCTNNNCATTTATTCGTCCCTATCCGAGAAGACTAGAATATTTAACCATTACTTGATGTTAAAGAAAGGAAGCATATTCTTCTCAGTTAATTTTAAGACCCTGAGTGTTGGTCCGACCGGTATTGAACTCTCGACCTCCCGCACAGCAGTCCGGCGCTCTCCCAATTGAGCTAACCAGGCGGCGGTCAATGTTGGCATGGGTCTGTTCAGTAATACATCACTGAGGACATAAAGTTGTGGTAGCTGGGCCTCATGTGCCACTTTTTCGTTCTTACCACATTTAGACATCATCTACGATCGTTTAAACAGATACACAGCAACAGGCAATTTATTTATGAAATATTGAAAATGATCATTTGTTTACAGGTTAGAGAGCACGCAAAGCATTATCATCCCAGAGCTTGTTGAGCTTACAAATGACGAGGAAACTAGTGTGAGACTTGCTGGACTGGAAACAATCACAAACCTACTTAATCTTCTTGATGATGGTAGGTGTGAAGACACCAGTTTTTAAATTGAACCAATCAATACTGTCATTGTAAAATTTTCTTCATCAGTGCGACCCTAAACTCACAGATTTTCATGAAATGCCAGGGTGGGGTTGTTCAAAGCTGGATTAAGATAACCCAGGGTTAGTGTGAAAACTGTTTTCAGTTCTCTAAGATTTAAGAGAAAATTCAGTATTTTTTTCATTTACAATGTGATGTCTTGATGCTCTAAAAAGTTTAAAGAAAATTATCTCAAAATGGCTTTGAACAAAAGAATAATGAACCCAGGGTTAAAATTTAACTCTGGGTTAATGCTAATTGGCCTTTGAGCAACTGGGCTCAGGTCTCATTGATAAAGAAAACTCTACAAGGAAATGTGTGGCTAGAGGGGAGAATTACACGATCAGATACTAGAAATTGAATGATTAGATCAAGATGATAACTTTCACCTGATGAGTTTGAGTGTTCTCATTACCTGTTAGTTGGATAATGTATGGAAATTGTAGGGAGAGGTTACATGTTTATCACTTCTTAGAGTTAGAGGGTTAGCTTATGAAAAGTTTCTTAGCCATGATATGTTATGTTTCCATAGATACCTGCACATCAGTTATTGTTCCTTTGGTTCAAAAGTTCTGTGAGGAAATTCCCAAGCAGTGTTCAGATTCGCTCCTCACAGCAGCACGGTTATTTGGAAAACTTTCCCATGGGTTATCAAGTAAGGACAAAATTTTCCAAGAAACACTTGAAGGTTTCATGAAGATTGTGGCTGTTTGCTTTGACTTTGATAGCTGACTGGTTTATTTCTTTGCTTTTTGCAATGTTTATTGGTGCTAATACCCAAAATAGTCAAGAGTTTACTCAACACTTGAGTGTGCATCTTCTAAAAAGTGTTTGTAGCCCATTACCAAGTAATTGTTAACCAAAATCCAGGCAGTGATAACTTGTATCTCAAAAAAAGAAATTAAGGAGCCAGAGATAGAAGAAGAGGCTGTGCCTTGCCACTACCCTGTATGCACCAAACTTTGTATCAAGTATTTCTGTTTTCTGTTTTGAGCCCTGGCCAGGCAATTTTTAGGTGTTTGATAATATTTGTCATTCACAGTAGTTCCTTCCTTTCCCAAGGGGTGTTAATAGATGCCAGATATCTGTTTGGGAAGCTTGGCCAAGTATTGTGGAGGGCAGTGGGTGGGAGGGGAGACTGGCAATAAACAAGCAGGTGATTCAAGAGGAATGGCAATACTCCTCATTTTTTTTTCAAGCCATGGCAGCCAGGAAAAACTGTGGCTTTAACAGAGCATGAGGCTTGTTAGACTTAACCTTTCTTTCTCTATGTTGACCTCAGTTAACCTTGATGAGACTCAAAAGAAATGGTTCTTGGAGTTCTACAAAAAGATGTGCCTCTGTGGCAATCCAAACAAAAATAACAGAGTAGGCAGTGTAACACTGGCACTCAAGGTATGTTAATTCCTCTAGATTCCTTGTAGGTGTAATTGTAGAAAGAAAATTGATTTGGAGATTTGTTTTAGTTTGTAAAAAAAATACCTTGTGGGTATATTAATCTGTGTATGTAGTAAACAAATGGAACCTGTATTGCGTGGACAGCTTCTGGACAGTTGGGCAACAGAAAATTAATTGACCATTGTTTTAATAGAGCTGAGGACCAATGTTATTGCGTGTTTAGTTCGAGGTGTCCACTTTTCGTGGTATCACTTTTGGGTTTCCTAGTAGGAAGATTCTTTAATGAGGAACTAAGAACTGGGTAAATGCCTTGGCTTCAACATGTGGCCTTCTTACTCACTTTGAATTAGTGCCCATCTGGGGACCATGCACTCAATCCATTTTCAACTCTTCATTTTTTCAGAATTTTTTCTCTATAATCACTCAAGTGACAATCAACATGTAAAGATTCATTTATCATCTGTGCCAGGTAGATCAGTATCTGCCTTCCCTTGTGTATGCCATTCCAAATTGCATCTACATGCAGTATTACTCTAACAGCTTGAACAGGATACTTAAATCCTCCATCTGTAATTTCAGAGCTCTGTTTTATCTGGTGCTACTATTGAAGATGATCCAGAAGCTGAATGCCGAAGATGCTGCGCTTTTAACTTTCCGGTAGGAGACTTGAACTGCAACTTAACCCATAAACTCCCAGAAATGATTAACATGTAACTTCTCCCTATGATATGCATACATTATCTAGCAAACATGTAATGAGAATACCAGGGTTCGTACGCTTCTTGAAAACCCTTGAATTTCAGGGGGCCGATTTCAAGGCCTTGAAAGTAGTTGAATTTCGTTTTGGGTCCTTGAAAGTCCTTGATTTTTTATTGAACAACATCGAAAAATATCTGCTTTTGTTTTGCACCATCGGTAAACCCAAAACATAGATGTTAACAGAAACATTTTTCTTGGTTTTGAGGTAAAATTTTCATTACAAAAAGTCCTTGAAATTTCTAAGTAGGGTCCTGGAAAGTCTTTGAAAAGTCCTCGAATCTTTGGCCTGAAAAAGTGTACGAACCTTGGAATACTCAAAGTTATCTGAATTTTTTCAGCTCTGATTTTCAGTGTTGCTTAAATAGTGCTTTACTGCGAGGATCGTGTACATATATACGTTTCATAACCGCAGTTCAGATATATGTATTTCACATGTTCGTTGTGTTTGATTTATCATCTTACGGGTTTATGTCGAAATAATTTGATGGCCTGCTCCAAGCTGGCTTGTTAGCTCAATTGGTAGAGCGCTGCACTAGTATCGCAGAGGTCAGTGCTTCGAATCCCGTACAGGCCTGAATGTTTTCACGTCTTATTTTCACTGTTGCTTAAATAGTGCTTTACTGCGAGGATCGTGCACATATACGAATCAAGTTTCTCTTATTACCTCTCTCAAGTCTTGAGACCCTATTTTTTAAAACTAGAACGTGTTTCTGTTTCTTTTCCTCCAGGCCATGCTTCTGTTCTGTGGTGCAGCTGGTTTTCAGAGCGAGCTAGCTGCCACATTTCATTCACTCGTGGAGGATCCTCATGCACTGGTCAGACGAACTATAGCATGTGGATTTCATGAGGTAAAGAAAAATTGAGACTCCCTTGCAAGTTCCAATTTCTTATTTTTGAAAACCGAGTGTATAGTGTAGTTGGTAATAGTGTTCCTTAACTCTCTGAAGCTCGGTGCTCAGTGTAAAGCATGGAAGCGTGGAATCCGAAGGTGTGGGGTTTGAATCCTCATAGAGACTCAGATTTTTTCTTAGACCCACTCTCGTAGACGAAGTACAATTTTTTAGAGCGCTCTTCAATTGAGTGTCGTGCCGTTAAAAGTCTATTCAACAGACGTACTTGTGTACCAAGAAATTTGACGGAAAATCAAGTGACAGACCCGAACTAACATTTTTTTTTTCCCATGCCAGGTGGCGAAACTTTTAGGGACAAATGTTGGATCTATTCAACAAGATTTAAGTATATTATTAAAGGATGAATCTATAGAGGTGAGAGAGAAATGTCATTAAAGAGCTACTCTGTCTCTCGATAAACGGTGGAACCTCGATTTAGCGAAGTGCCAGGGACTGGGGAAATTGGTTCGTTATATCGAGGATTCGTTATATCGAGGGTTCGTTATATCGAGGGTTCGTTATATCGAGGGTTCGTTATATCGAGGATTCGTTATATCGAGGATTCGTTATATCGAGGGTTCGTTATATCGAGGATTCGTTATATCGAGGGTTCGTTATATCGAGGATTCGTTATATCGAGGGTTCGTTATATCGAG